CACCGGCAGGGTCGCCTTGCCAGAGGCAAGCCGGGGGGACACGGGACGCTCAGCCTCGGAGTGACCTCACGCCCATCCCAGAGAAATGCACTGACTCCCCAGACCCTGCTCTCCAAAGAGTCAGCTTTCCTGCCTGTGTCGAAGTTCACATTCCTCTTAAGACATGAACCCCTCAGATGTCGGGCTCCAGGCGGATGGACCATAAAACCCGAACAGTCACCGGCACGCCCGAGAAGCTGGCTCTCAGAGGAGCCTTGCATCTTGGGTGTAGGCATGAGATCTGCAACCTACTCTCAGAGAGTCCTCCAGGAGAGACAGCAGGGGCTGGAGAGGGAAGAGAGAGACCATAATGGGTCACGGGGATGGAGGGGTCAGGGCACTATTGCCTTGAAGTCTCAAATCATTTCAAATATGTAGCTTAAAAAGAAATCTTCAATAAGCGGCTTTTTTTCTGGTGATCCTGGGACACAGTGCCCCCACTCCTCCCCGAGGCTCCTGCTCCAAAGGTCACCGTTGGAGATCGAGACATTTCCAAACTCCCACGTAATCACCAACAATTACTGCTAACCGACAGCCCCCTCGGAACGAGGCTAAGAGGAATTTCACTAACATTTCTATCCGGAAGGCTCCGACCATCCCTGGGGGCGGGGAGAACACACGCACGTGCACACGCACCCCACACGGGCTCTGCAGCCCGAGGACAGGCTCAGAATTCCCCTTCTACGGTGCAGACGGTGTAGAGAAGCTTCCGACCTCGAGTTCTCCCTCTTCTATGACACAGATGACAGAGCATGGGGTAGCATATTATCAGCCCATTTTACAGATGAGGAAACTGAGGCTCAGAGATTTGAAGCACCTGTTCCCAGCTAGGAGGTGGCAGGGCTCCAAGGCCTGTGTCCCCTGCAGGGTGAGATGACTCAGAAGGGGGGAGGCAGGACAGGAGGAGCTCTCGGCCAGGCTTGGGGGACGCTGGTGGTTTTCTCTGGGACAGGCCTCCCCCCTCCCCCCCACGGCGTTAGAGGGAGGCTTGGGCGCCCACACTCACCTGCCTGCCGGCGCTGTTTGACACACTGCCCGCGGTTGGGGATGCCTTCGGCCACATCTCCGGGGCTCAGGATGTGGCAGTCGTAGCCCGAGGGGCAGAGGAGGGGCTCCGCCCCGTCCTCCGTGGTGCTGCAGGCCTCGGCTGTGGGAGGGACACAGGCCGCGTGCTGGGTGGACGCAGGGGACCATCTGCCCCCAGATCCCGGGCTGTGCCTTGCGTCTCGCTCACCGTGGCACCTTCGTGCACACGCACATAGGCACGCGCGCACACACCAACGCAGTCCAAAGTCACGTGATCCCAAACACCCTACTGTGCATCGTGACACACGTACACACACGTTCACCTACACAGAGGCTCACGCTTCACCCAAAGAGGCCTGACACACGCACGCACTCACACATGCACACACACACAAATCCTGACACACGCATACGTGCGCTCACATCTACAGCCACAGGCATACACACGCGTTCATACACAACTCGGGACACACACATATTTTCGCCACCCATGGCTCTTAACACACACACACACACACACACACACTCACACCTACGGTCACACACATTTGCATGCACACAGACACGCAAACATCCAGACGCAGCGCAAGGACAGCCACACGGGTGCCGCACCGCCTCACCGACGCAGTCGCGCACACGCATGCGTGCAGCATCACAGGCACAGCCGCACCGACACACGTGCACACACTCCCACCCTCCAGTTTTGGGGACCCCGAGCCTGCTTGCCTGCTCCCCACCCACCCGGAGGAGTCGTCGTCACCACGGAGCCGTGGACCCCTTATTACGATTTTGGGGATCTGAAAGCCACCCCAACCCCCTCCCTCTCAAGTCTCCACCCAGGGAGGAGGAGGCCCCCAGTCCTAGGGAAAGTCGAGCCCTATACGGTTCTGCGTTTTCTGAGAGTCTGGCCAAGCCCCAGTCGCCACCGTTCTAGGTCGAGTATTTGAGGTACTGGAGGGCAGGCAGCCTGCCGCAGCAGAGACAGCCTGAGAAGGAGGGATCCTGACTCTGACGCCGGGGTGGGCTTCTCCCCGTAGGCACCTTGCAACACCTCCTCAGGGCCATCCAGGAGCCAGCCGTTGCCACCAAGCCATCGAGGTTTCGGCTGCACTAGCCAGTCTAAAACTAACGAAACGATACATGGTTACATTGAGCCCCGCCCCAGGCAGCTGAGAATCGCCCCAGCCTCTGGGAACGGGGCGAGGTGGGGGGGAGGCCTACATTTCACGATGAAACACAGAGGCTCCCTGCCGCACATTCCCCCAGTTCTTTCAGTAACAGAACTTTGAGTTTCGCCTGGGCACTGGGGCCGAGCTGGAGACTACATCTCCCAGCGTTCCTTGCAGCTAGGTGTGGCCGCGTCACTGAGTTCTGGCCAATAGGATGTCAGCAGAGGCGATGACGCAAGTTTCTGTTCTCGCCAGGGCTTTGGTGCCTGTTTGCTGTGTGCTGTCCCTCTGCCTGCAGCCTGGGAGCCACTCTGACCTTGCAGAGCAACAAGTGGAAGGAACCTGGGTCCCTGGATGACTGGACTGGGGCCACCTACCTGCCATGGACCACCCATCTCCTCGGGCCTATTAACCAAAGGAGGAGTAAATAGGTTGGGCTCCTGGGCTTATGGGTCTTTCTGTCATAGCCTCGTAGCCAGCTCTGTGACCAATACATGTTTAACAAGAGGACCAACCCACGCGTAGGGCTGTAAAGTGTTCAAAATCCCAAAGCAGGGGTGGAGCGCCCAAATGCCTCCAGGGTGAAGGTAGGTAACGTAAGTAAGAAAAGCCGGCCGGGTAGGGCCATGGCAGACTGGAGACAGTCCCTGCCTCAACAGGTCAGCTGCTGGTCGTTGCGACCAACGAACAATTGGACCGCTCTGCCTGGCCAGTGAAAGCTAGTCACTCGCTGATGTGTTGATTCTTTTAATTTCCACTGAGTACTTTTCAGATGCCTAGAGTCTAGTTTAGATGGGGGACGTCCAGCAGTGAAGGAAACAGACCGATCTCTGCCTTATGCGGCTGACCTTCAAGTGGGGAGAACAGTCAATGAGTGAATAAAACACGGTGTTCCAGACTGTGCTATAAAGAAAAATTAAGCAGGGAAAGGAGGGCGAGGAATGGCTGGAGGAGGGCTTGCCATTTCGAGAGAGAGATGTTCCCTGAAAAATGACCACCTCCGGACAAAGATCGGAAGGAGCTGTGTGGGTGTCCCGCGGAAGGATGTTCCAGGCAGTGAGAGATTCCCACATACGGGCCCAGATGCTGGAGTAGGGGCCCCACAGCCCTGCACTCAGGGCGTAAGGCAGTGGACATTCCCAGCTTTGCCTGCTGTGTGATCTTGGGCAAGCAAGTCAGCGTCTCTGAGCTTCAGTGTCTTCAGCTGTAAAACAGGGCCGCGTGAGCATTAAACGAGATAACGTATGGAAAGGCTGTCAGGAGTGTCGTGAACAGTTGTATAGTTTGCGCACTGCTCAAAAGCACCTGGTGCAGGTGGCAAGCGAGGCGAGAACACCTGCACGCTGTCACAGTCCAAAGCAAGCGGCATCTTCTTTGACTTACCCACCCAGAGGGAAGTACTTCCTTGTGCTTCCTTCCACTGGCGGGGGGGGGGGGGGGGGGG